CCCCCCCCCCCAGCTGCTGGACGGACGGACAGACAGACCCACCCCCGGAGGAACTGCACTCAAAAGCTGCAGGATAGCTTCTAGGCAGTTCGTTCAGCTTTGGGGCGATTCACCCCGCGTAACGGGGAACAAAGGGCGAGGCATCGTGCGTTCGCAGCGCAGAGTCTGCGGTTTGGAACGGTTGAATTTCAGTCTCGTTTGCTGAGATTCAGGAGCTAAAGCAGACAAATTTCTCCAAACACCGGTCGATGTAGGATGTTCTCGCCCTCTCTGTGTAATATAAATCTGTGTTTTTCCCCAGCCGCAGCCAAGTCCAATGCGTGCACGCATACTCCTCAAACAATAATTTACTAGCTTTCTGCCCCCCTGGAGAGGGAGGCAACGCATATACCTTTTAGCTCGTTGTTTATGTTAAAATGATTTCTCACTCAGAAGAAATCTTAGCTTTGATTAAAGGAAATAAGAGTAGGGTGGTGAAACAGGTTATCCCTAATTACTGTTATTTGGATTCCATTGTCTGAGAACACGAAAGGGGATATTTTATATATATTTACAGTTTTTTATTAAGTCAATAGTTTTCACTGAGAGAGATGTTCGACATAACATTTAAAAAAAACCCCAAACCCTCTATTAAAATTTCAGAAATACCAGCTGTGTTTGCCCAGCCACCAGAAATAAATCACACCGATGGCATTTATACACACGGTAATGTATCACACCCAGGTGAACGCAAACCGTAGGCTAGGCGGAGCTGCCGCCCCAATCTCTGTGATTTCTGAGGAGCAGCAGGATCTCAGCGGAGCAGAGGCAGGCAGGTAGATAAAATATTGTTATTTATCTTGTTATTTACAGCACAGGCTGAAACGCCCGGTTAGAACCTCGTCCGCCGCGACAGCCCCTGCAGCTCCCGCCAGCGCAGGGCTCACGCCCGGCAGCGCGTGCCGCGTCCCAGAGAAGTCTCTCTCCGTGGCTATTCAAATCAAACCACAGAAGTAAAACATTTGTACACGGACGCTTTAGCTCCCCGATTGCCAGGAACCCCCCGACCCTGCGAGGGCGGCCAGCGCGCGCCCCGGGCAGGGCAACGGCTGGCAAGGACGAGCCGGGCACAGCACAGCCCGCGCCCACCCAGTCCCGCTTCACCCTTTTGGGTTTTTTTGCCTGATTTCGATCTTCTCCTCCCTCCAGCTTTCCCCTGCTGCTCTCAGTTGCCATTTCGGGAACTCCAGATCCAAGGCACCGATATCTGGGATCACTTTGTTTTCTCCTGTTCAGGAGCCGTCAAACCTGGAGCCCTTTGCCAAGGAGCCCTGCCTGCCTCTCTTGGAAGCTGGATCCCTGAACACCCATCCCTGAGGGACTGAGCTGGGAAAAATACTGGGTGATCAACCATCTACGGTATCTTCTGGCCGTGCCTGGGACGGCTTTGAAGGCCAGCTAAAACCCCACTGCTGTCCCTGTGCTCTGCAGGGAATCACTGCAACAAGGAGAGTCAGATGGCTGACGTTGCCTTTATCCTGTCAAATAAAACAAAGTAGCTCAATACCGCGCCGAAAAAGTGCTCCGAGTACAAGTCCAGTCTTGTTCTGAAGTCTTGGAAATCTATTTTTCCTTCAGTTAATTGACAAAATCTGTAGATCATACAAGGAAGACAATCCCTGCCAAAAATCAAACATCACTAGTTTTTAATAATACAATGGGAATAACCCCTCAGAACATATGTAATTATGGCAGTGAGTCATTCTGATGGCATCACATAACCACATTCACTGGGATTTTGACAAGGAAGAGGCCACATAAAATTCGGAATGATTTCATTGCAGCAATGGTCAGGTTAGTCGTGTCGATGAAGCCGGGGCCATCCGGGGACGGGCCTGGCATCTGTCACCACCCCCCCTGTCCTGTCCGGTGCACAGCACGGACAGCGTCCCGCTGCGGCCAATTTAAAAAGAAAAAAGGAAAAAAGCTAAAAATCGAGAGAGGAGGACGCATCAATAGCAAATGAAAAGCTTGTGAGTCATACAGAAACAAACAATTAGTAGAGTAAAAAAAATGTGAGTCGCATGTTATCCGATAGACAAGTAAACAACCACAGCTACAGAGATACTGCAAGTTAAATACCGACTGGTAGCCTCAGTAATGCAATTGTGGTCAGGGAAAACAGGAGAGAGAGGAGAGCGCAGCTGAAGGGGTGAATCTGTTCCAGTTCAAATGCGATTCCCGTCTGTTATCAGCACAATCTCCCCCTGTGACAGAAAACAGAGGCTTGCCGCCCGCTCCGACGGGGACAAGAGGGCTCCCCGTAAGCGGGGCCGGGGAAAGTGGTGCTGAGACCTCCCTGCTAAAGCTTTCAACGTGGGAATTCAGCAATTAACTCTGAGGCATTACCAATAAAAGTTCTCCACGACATAAGCTCATGGCTAAAGCTAGCTATTTCTATTCTTCCACAGCAAGAGGCAGCAATTTTCTGGATGCACTCCAAGGTATCTTGCTAACAATAAAAAGGGTGTTTTCTTAAGGAAAAGGAAGAAAGAGTGGGGGAGAGCGGAGCAAGTATTACTCAACTATTTAGTCTAAAAATTTGAAAATCAAAAGGATCTTCTGACAGATTGATATCAACCCTAATAGAAAACACGCTTGTCCTGGGAAAACTCTTCTCCACGAGCCTCAAGTCTGATAGCTTAAACAATTATCTACAATTTGGGATTAATTTTTTTATGCCCACATCAATGTGTGTTTTTTTAAATGCCCAAGGCATAGGTAATTCTATTAGGAGAAAAAAAAAACAAACAAAAAAACAAACACAACAGAAATCGTAGGCTTGGCCAAAGCAGACCGAAAATCCAAGCCCGCCTGCCATCTTACAAAACACCTCACCAGTCTTGGCTCCTCAGGACATGGCTGTACAACAGGAACTCGGCACTACCTAAAAGCAAAATGCTGAAAATCATTAAAAGAACAACAGTCTCAGAAGCTCTGTTATTGTTCTGGGTTTAGAAGAGCATTAGCAGAACTAGAAGGAGCCTGAACCAGCCGTGGACACTCTGCTGCTAACGAGCATTTAGAAACAATGGGCCAGACCTTTGTTCTCCAACGTGCTGACCAGTTTGGCCCCAGCCCAATCTCTGGTATAAATTAACACCGTTGCAGCGGGGCGTTGTTAATTCCCCCAAGGTGAGGATCCTTCCAATTCCTGTTAAAATCTGGCAGCAACACGAACACAGGCTTAGTCTTTAGAGATTGCGATTTGCCTAAATCTGATTTAAGTCACGGCACTGTCCGTGCAATTCTTTGCATGCACAGAAAAAAAGCCAGTGTTGTTATTTCGAATTTTAAAGAGCCAATTGCCAGTAACCCAGAAAAAAAACCAAGCCCCGTGTGCCCGGGGCGGCCCCCCCCGCGCTGCCCGTGTGCCCGGGGCCGCTCGGCACGGCCGGTGCT